TGACTGACCCCGAAGATTATGTGACTCATTACGTCACCACCGTAAAAGGAAATAACCTCACCAAGGAACAAGTGTCGTCTATTCTGCTGAAGAAATTTGGCAAAACTCTCACATGAGGGGCATTAACATGGTACTCACAGCTACTAGCCCGCTCCATAGAGACCTTTGAGGAAATGGCTAATAAGTTCGTAACCGTACATGCCGGAGCCAGAAAGCAGAGGCAAGAGTGAACGACATATTCGCCATCAAACAGTCCTTAGAAGAAGGATGGAGGGACACATCTAGCCAGGCCTCGACATGAATCCATTCTTCGTATAACTCCCGAGGTACACTGGGAAAATCAGAAGGGTTGGACAAGGACAAGCGTGCAAGAAGTTAAACCTTCTCGGCCTCCAGAGCAGTCACTCGGTCATGAAGGACGGGGTTATCTTTTTCCAGCTCTCCGATCCTCTCTTCGAGCTGGTCTTCCTTATCTCTCGCCGTCGCTTGATCATTTTCTCGCTCCCCTCAAAGAGTCCTGTTCGCCAACTCAAACATCTCCGCCTTCCTTCGATCATCCAAACGAGAGGATTTTGCCTTCTCGAGCTCCTCCTGCTTCTCGACAACCTCACCGCTAAGGACCTCCAACTGAAATCGACACTCTTCGAGTTGCCCCTGCAATTCAACCACCTGAGTCTGAAGATCATTACATTAGGCCTCTACACCCCTGCTAACCTCAAGCTCCTCTTCCCTACTTCTCAATATCCCCTCAAGGATGCTACATTTCCTAATGGCCTGCACCATCTCATCGTCCCTCTTCTTCAATTCGTCCCTCAGGGCATGCGTGTCGCCGCCCTCGCGAAACCGACTGCGGAGATCCCGATACTTGCCGGGATACTCAAGGTATTTATCTTTCAGTTTCACGAAGATCTCTTTACGCCTCTTCTCCCTCTGGGCGCTCTCAATCTCCAAAATCACCGTCTACAAACCAAAAAAAAGAGAAAGAAAAAAAACGGTCAGAACAATGAACGCCTTGAAAAACAGGAAAAAGTTTGTATCACAAATACTCACCCTAAGAGTGAGGCCAACAATGCTTCTCAACAAGGTACCGTCATTTATTTACTTAAGGGTCTTACCCTCAACTACGAAATAGAGAGGACCAAGGGTAGGGACTACCTCCTCGGTGTTCACCAATAGGTCACGATCCATAGGGTTCGCGATAGTCCTCGTAGACCCCTCCAACCTTTCATCAAGCTGAGTAAGCCCCTCTTCGATCATTCTCAGGTCGTCCACATTGACATCGGAACCTGACTCATTGCCTTCTTCAGCAATGCTTTTGCCCCTTTCGTCGGCAGGCAAAGAGGTATCAGCAACTGTCTGGGAGGTCGAAGCCTTCACTCGCCGCGAAGGGTCAAGAACGTCAGCAGTCGCCCCTTCAGTCTCCATCCCCGCGGAATGAAGATATACATCTACATCGGCTCTCACCGGCCTTGAAGCCTCGAGACTCGGTTTAACATCATATCCCACAAAAATCGTCGCCATCTCACGCAGCGAAAAGTCCCTTTCCGCCGCACCAACAACCAGGGCAACTCCGTCACCATCATCCACAAATCTCCTCTTTCGAGGTTGGAGATCTCCATCACTAGGCAAAAGCTTATCGTCCTCATCAATAAGAGAGTACAGAGGAGTAGCTGAAATATCAACGTCTGAAGCAGAAGCAAAGGCGGAGGCGGCGACAGGTAGAGGTGGAACAAAAACAGGATCGGTCGTAGGAGACTGAAGGTGTAGGGGACTTCCTATTACAAAACGAGGGCGTGGGAACCCTCTACCTCCTCGTAGAACCCATGGCCGAGGCTAAAGAAAAATGGGAAAAAGGAAAAATCAGCAAAGGTAACCGATATGGGCGAAGAAATCAAGGTGTTGACAGTGGAAAACAAGTTACCTAAAGAAGGAAGAGACGACCTAAATCTCTGGGATAAGCTCGACCAATCGCATGTCCCCACCGTATGAGGGAGAATTTGTCTAACCCAATCAGCAATATAGGCTACCATCTGGAGAGGTCGAGCAGTAGCTATAGAAAGGAGAAAGACGATTAACCGACCTGCAATAAGGAAAGCATTAGAAACAAAAAGGTATGTAAAATGATGCGAGCACTCACAAGTAGGGTTCCAAGCCTTAGGGAAGTCTGTAGCAGCGGAGACTACGTCTTTGATTATGACAAAGAAATAGTCAAGCCAGAAATGCCGACTAGCCTTGTCGTCCATCCTCACCACCAAACATTTTCCCCCGGTGGCGAAGATTCAGAAAAATCCCTTGATAGAAATGAGGGGCGAAGAGATGGATCAGGTGGCGTATTGTAATGTCGACGCCGACCAATTCGATGAATTTCGTCAACATTAGGACCACCTTGAAGATGTAAGGGGCGAGCTGCATCGGGCATATGTTGTGATAGCGGCACAATCTTCTATCAACGGTGGCAAAGGGAACGAATATCCAATTAGGAATAGGTATGTGTAAACCCAAACCTCGGCGTCGCCCACAGGTATCAAGTCTATGTGACCAGGTAGGCCGAGTCTAACCTTGAGTTCGCATAATCACTCAACCATCATCGTAGATTTAAACCTCTCTGTCACCATTTCCGGCGCCTTTTGGAAGGCGGGTTTAGCATCAGGACATCGAGGTACAATTTCCTCTATAGCGGGTAGGTTTTTCTCCTCATAGGCAGTTCCGCCATCTTCGCCCTAGTTGGGAAAAATGACATATAGAGGAATAGAGTGGTCTTCCATATGGATATCTGATAGTAGAACAAACATTGTTGTGGAAAAAAGATGGTAAAGCAAAGAAAACAACAGAAAGTCACAAGGATTCTGCGAAGGAGATGAAGAGGAAATTGTGCTTATGAAGTAGAAGGAGTTTGGAAAAGTTTCAAAATCAACAAACCATCCCTTATTTATAAGACTTGGGGGCGCTAGAATCGAAACGGCAAGCCATCATTAGCACAAAACGGCAGAGCCAATCAAGGGTCACACGTGGATCGATGCAGCACGTCGGGAAACGACGTCATTATGACGCATTACATCACCTGTTCTCTTGGACCAGATGGCTCCAACGGACTTCCCGAGAAAATTCAAAGAATTCAAAATTTGCGGCCCTTAGAAAGCCACGTTGCCAGACCACCACGACCTGTAGTAGCTTGGTAAAGCTCGATAATAAACGACATTGTCCACTTATCGACCTCACCCGCAAGAACGACCTCAATGAGTGGAGGGACTAACTGTATGAGCAAAGAAATATCTTTAATGTGGGCAAGCCACGTCAGTGCTATTGCAACATTCATCGATTGCCACGCGCTATCAGTGATGTCCCCACAGAGACCGACCTTGGGTGAAGTAGCCTTGAAGCAATGAAGGATACGGTTGAGGAGTCACCATAACTCAAGGTCGAGCTCGAGCTCGAGCTCGAGCACCTCAAATAGAGTTATAACGGCTAGTTCTAAGATAAGACATAAAGGAGAATATTCTAGTGGATATTCTTTGCACATGTACTATTAGGGTTTCTAGGAACATGTTCCCTATATATAGAAAGAGACATAATGATAGGGAACATGGGATATTCATTAGTAAAAAGACATACTTTGACTTTATAGAGAGAATCTGGTCCTATTACAAGTATACAAAAACGACCTTTTTACTAAGAATCTCTAGCATTTCCACCGGATCCATGAACAACCTAAGTATTCAAGGGCTTATCAATCATTCATCACACTCAAAAGGAATATCCACTTGTCTCACCCCTTTTCGAGTGGTTCACACATATTATTTACTTAAGTGCCATTTATTGTTGATTATTATTATTTAATACCATACTCCATCTTTTTGGATCATTGAATATTGTTATCATTACGCATATTCATTTGTCATCTAGACAAAATATACTAGTCGTTTTGCCTTGACACCGATAATTTTATCTTTTGGATATTAATTTTAACAAAGATTAACTTTTCTTCATATAAATCTAATTGGTTGAACCAAGATCTATATTTTTTTGGTCAAACATTAATGACGATCAAAACTCATTTATCTATATAAAATTCTATTATAAATTTATCTCTATTTTTATTAATTATTTTGTATTACTTGCATTGAAATATATTTATAAAATTTTTATTCACTTTTGTTGTCACTTCATAAATATATATATTAGATCTTCGATTGCTATAAATAAAATTAAATTATTTTTACTCTGCTTATTTATTTCAGTATAGAGCATATTACTTAATTACTATTTCTCACTCTTCTTTTCGTCTCAGAAATAGTTTTTNACCCTTCTTTCTACAAGTACTTTTATTATATAAATTTTAAAAAATAAAAGGAAAATCTCTTGATTTTAAAAAGTAAACAAAAGAAAAGAAAAAGGTTGATATCTAAGGGTAAAATAGGTATTAAGGGGGGAGAATGACTATTGTTCAATGTTTAGGGGGAGTTTAATTTTTAAAATAAAATTGCGATGTGTAAATGATTTTCACCCAAAATAAGGGTATCTTTGTATTAGAAAGAAAAATAAAGGTGCGTTTTTTAAACGCGAAATATATAAACGGCCCCTTGAAGTTGTCCTCAACGACCAACTGAACACCGAGCCTATTTTCAGTTGGACACTTCTTCTCCACTAAAGTACGACCTCGTGAACCCTTCACGCTGACATGGCAAAGTGTGTGCTTTATACTCAATTCTAAGCGCGTGAAACCCTCAAAAATAAGGTTTTTTTCTCTTTCTTTTAAATTTAACTTTATTTTATGTGGGTCCATTATATTTTATTTTCTACACATTAATTTCACTTTCTTCCCGAAATATTTCATCTTCACCAAACCTCTTCTTCACCACATCTAAATCAAACAAAATCCACATTTTTAAATTTTAATCAGTTACAACAATGAACAATCCGATCCAAGCAGCCATGAATTTCTAGTTGGAACAGCTTGAGTGATTTAGGCTACGACTCAAAACACGCAAACAGAAACCACAAATGCTCAACTTAGCTCCTTCAAATATTCGAATAAAGAATTAATCTACATCTGTCCTTTTGTTACCTTTCTCAAAATATTAGTAAATGTGTTTTTAACATCACTGTCGATTCAGCTAAGCCAACCACTTTTCATTTTGATAAGAATCAGGAAAATATTCGGTAAGCTAATTCACCTTTCCCACATGATTCAAAGGATTAAGATCGAACTCAAATCTGTTGCATTTACTCAATATCAAGGGACCGAAACACAAGAAAGAGGTTTTTCTTCCATAAAAAGAAAAAAATTATTGAAGTGAAACTCCGATTGAAGAAGGGTGAGCGGTGTGTTTGATTTTTTTTATTTTTTTTTTTTGCAAATTTCCCTCTTCTGCAAAATAGTTGCTGAAGAAAACTAGAGACGAGGAGGAAGGGCTGGAGACGAGATGGTTCTGCTAGTGAAAATCTTCATTTAAATGGGTTAGGATGATTTTTGATTTGGGTTTGAGAAAGAAAAAAAAAAAAAACATGTAGGAGGTTTTGGCAGCCATGGTAACCAATTTTTAGGGTGGACAGATGTTCTTTGGGTAGGAAAGTTAATAGATAATTTTTTTAAAATAAAACAAATACACATGTCATTTAATGATTTGTCCGTTTGACAAGTCATCCGCAATTGTAATACACAAAAAATAGGGCGTGCGAGCGCCGTTTATGCATTTCGTCTTTTATAATGGGTTAAGTTTTTAATTTGTTTTTTAAGGTTAAGTGATTTACCTGGGTATAAAATATAAATAGGGCAGAAGGTGTAAAATTTTGCTTTTACGATTCGGAGTGTTCCTCTGGTCGAAGACCGCCATTATCGAGCGAGCCGATTCTTAACGCGGATCTCCGGCTATTTCATCACCCGTTTTGAGTCTAAGGTGAGTTTCTGATTCGCTTAATGATTTTTTCCCTTCTTAATACGTTTGCTTTTTATGAATGCTTGAATTCGTTGAAGCATAGTGTGGTTATTGTCTAGAGTGATGAGCTGTTCATAAACAAATATATCTTGTGTATATATGACTGGATTTTCTTATAAAAATTCTTCAATTACTGTAATTTAAGTTTGTTTTGAGTTGGTGATTTTAGTATTTGTCTCGTAATTGGTTTTAGGGTTCCGTTGTGGAAGAAGGACTAGGGTTTTATATTCAAGAGGACAAGAACTAAGGAATTAAAAAATGTTTTTACCTGCTTCACTGCCCTTCAAAGGCCTTTACTTTCATGATTGCAAGGTCTTCTCAGCGTTAATTTAACCCTAAGCTATTACCCATCTCAATTTTTTTTTTTTGACAAGTATAAGTTCTGCCAGGCACTCTCCTTGATTAGTTATGCAGATATGCATTGGTTGTGATGTGGTTGTTTTTGAAATTCTGTGTAGCAGTGGTCAGAAGAAGATATTATATACACACACATGTAATCTCATCTAATTTATTATCCTTTTTTTTCCTTCGTATCAGGGAGATTATATCATTGCGTTCGGAGGCTTGAAGCAGATTAAGCGTCCACTACTTAGTTAACATACCATTTTCTTCAAGGGGCTTCTTTTTGTTGTAAAAATGTCTGTTACAGCTGGTGTAAGTGACACAATTATCGCAATTAGGGAAAAGCTCAGGGGTAAAATTGGCCAAACAAAAGTGAAAAGATACTGGCCTGGTAAAGCTCCTGAGTGGGCAGATGAAGCGGAAAAAGATGAGGATCTTAGGATGACCAGGGAAGCAGCGCTTGAGAAAGCCTTTCCTAGCCAGGGCGGTTCTGACATTGCAAGAAAGGATGATGCAAGGCTGCGTCGACTGGCAGAGAGTAGAGTTGATAATCGTGAGGAAATCAGAGCGGATCATCGACGCATCCGGCAAGCAGAGATTGTTTCAACCATAGAAGAGGAAAATAGAAGACTGGAAAGAATGGAATTTGAGGAGGATGATGAAGATGCATTGGACGAAAGGAGGAGGAGAATCAAGGAAAAAAATCTTCAGAGGCAACAGGAAGAAGCTCTGCCAGAGGAAGAAGAAGAGGAGGCAGAGGAAGAGGAGGAAGAAGAGTCAGAATATGAGACAGAATCAGAGGAAGAAACAACAGGGATAGCAATGGTGAAACCAGTTTTTGTTCCAAAATCTGAGAGAGACACCATAGATGAGCGTGAGAAGCGTGAGGCAGAGGAACGAGCTCTCGAGGAGTTAGTGAAGAAGAGGTTAGAGGAGAGAAAAGTTGAAACAAAGCAAATAGTTGTTGAGAAGATACGTGAGGAAGAAATAATTCAGAAAAATTTGGAGCTGGAAGCTAATATTGCTGATGTAGATACTGATGATGAGGTGAATGAGGCTGAAGAATACGAAGCTTGGAAGTCCAGAGAAATTGCTAGGATCAAGAGGGAGAGGGACGACAGGGAGTCTAGTAGGAAGGAGAGGGAAGAAATAGAGAGGGTGAGAAACATGACGGAAGAAGAGAGGAAGGAGTGGGAGAGGAGAAACCCGAAACCTGCCCCACCACCCAAGCAGAAGTGGAAGTTTATGCAGAAATACTACCACAAGGGTGCTTTCTTCCAGTCAGATCCTGATGACACCGCTGGAACTTCTGGTGCTGATAATATATACCACCGTGATTTCTCTGCACCAACAGGGGAGGATAAGTTGGATAAGTCCATACTACCAAAAGTCATGCAGGTTAAACACTTTGGTCGTAGTGGAAGGACAAAATGGACACATCTTGTCAATGAGGATACAACTGATTGGAACAACCCGTAAGTACCATAAACCTTCTATATTACCTGCTCATCTTTCAATCAATCTGTCATATAGATCAACTGGATTAGCATTTCTAAATAATCCATGCTTCATTGTGTCCAGTTGTTTGTTTCACATTAGCATTTGATTTATTGGTTTCAGTGCAACGGAATAGTGACTTTCACAGGCTTTGAACAACATAGCTGCTCTTTTACTTTGGTTGAAGGGATGTCACAGTTTGTATTTGTTAGCATGTTGAATTTTCTTGAAACTGTATACCTTTCAATTGCTGGAATCTCGAATTGGATTTAGTGTAAAGCAAAGGACAAAATTGAAGTACATAATAATTGTATATTTAGTCATACTTCAGATGTTTCAGGGTTGCGAATTATTAGGAGAATAACAGCTCTAAATCTGTGAACTTAGTATCAGGAGTCTTAGCTGGTCCTCTATGAAGTGGACGACTTGTATGCACCAAGTTGGAGTGTGTCTTACAACTGATGACAGCTGCTCCCTCTCTCTCGTTCTGTACTTCTTCTTTTTCTCTTTTTATTGGATGGGGACAGGGGAGGAGGGTTGAGATGAGCCCATGGGCCTTGTCTTATATGCTGATGGATTCCTGCAAGCTAGATTGATGACCTTCTCTTGGTTGAGTTTCTTAAGTATTACCCTGGCGAGTAAAGTGATTAAAAAATAACTAGCCAAAGGTCTTGAGAGAGAGTGATGCACATCTCAGGGTGTAGAGAGGTTTGTCTTATGTGTATCAGATTATAGGTGGAATTTAGTGTGATACAAATTGTGGTGGCTGAGAGAGGATTCCAAAGGAGAATTTTCTAATTAAAAGTGCATTTTGGGGAATGAATAGGAAGAGTTCGATTGTCTACGCACATGTTTCTTGTCTGAGTTGTACTTCTAGCATTGAAGCCATCAAGTACAGAAAATAGATCGATTTAAAATTGTTGGGGCCTTGAAAATTTAGGCTGCCTATTTTGAGTCATGGTGCTATCAAAGTGGTTGATCTTTTCCTAATTATCAGTGACAGGTGCATTCTTTTCTCTCTGTTCCTTTGGAAATGCTCTTGCATTCTGTTTTGATGGCTGGGATGCTTTTATCATGTTAATATACCTGTCGCTGGGTAGGAAAAGAAACAAAAGCCTCGTATAGCAGAGGAACGTTGTGACTGGGAGTTCAGAGTTTGGGTCTCGAAACGAGTTTAGAGGTGTGGGAGTGAGAGTGTGGATAAACTTTAGAGGCTTTCTCAGTTTTACCTTCAAATTCCCTACAGAATTACCTGCATGACTAGTCATGTATTAAAATGAAATACTTAAAAATGTCATACATAGGAGAAAACAGATTTGCTTATCAAAGTCATTCAGGAGAAACTTAGAAGTTTGTTACATTAGCCAGATAATGGTACACATTATTTTCCTTCCTGTTCAGTAAGTTCTTTTTGGAAAGGTGATTCCCCAAAATATAAGCATTTTTTTTCATATTAGTAAAATTACTACTACCTTATTATGAAGTAAATAAAAGTACTCTTTTCTGTCAAGTAATGCCTTTAGAGCCTATAATATAGCATATTAGCTTGGAGCATTTGGATTTCAGCTTAGGCCAGAAGAAAGAAAATGCCTGGCATCCAGGTCCCCTCCATTTGACGTCTGGCTTGGGTGGCATGCTTGAACTGAGAGGAAGTATATTAATATTTGTCATTTGACCAAGACGTCTGTTTTCATTGAAGACTTCCCATCTAGCCCTGCTATACTCCGTCTAATACTAAGACTGCTTATTCTGCTGTGATGAAATCATACCTACTCTTTTGCCTTAGCCAATTGAATGCTCTTATTTGCTGGCTAATAGGAGGACTACTCTTATTTGACTTTTCACTATCTCAGTTAGGTGATGCGTGTGTGTATATTTCTTAGTTGAATGTCCTCCTTTTGGAGATGAAGTTGAAAAGGGAAGATATGCAAACTGTTTCAAAAACTTCAATGTATTGTATTGTTTATGCTTTCTTGTTCAGTGTCCAGCTTTATCTATGTATGACTCTGGTAACAATGTTTGCACTTATTAATTGACTATTGCTTTTTGCGCAGGTGGACGTACAATGACACTCTTCGGGCCAAGTACAATGCGAAAATGGCTGCTGTTAATGCTCCTATTGCGAAGCCTAAGGGTAAGAAATTGAAGGATTGGGAGACTCGGTGAAGCGGTATTATAGTCTTGTTCTCGCTTGTGCTCATGATTTTGCTCTCAGATCCTTCTAAGCATAGCTGTCTTTCTATTTTGCTTGTTACATTGAAATGTCATTTGTAGCTCTTGTGCGAAGTTATTTGAATTGCAGAGGGTAGCTGTGTGTGTATGGCTAATTAGCAGAATTCTCTAATTATCCTTATTGAAAATTCATGTGTTAGGGCATATATGGTGTTCCGCTTTTCAATTATTGAGACCTGCTGTTTAAAAAGCATGAGCGAAACTTGGTCTCTGTATGTTCATTATGCTCAACAAAAAGCATGATTAGTTTTCTTGAACCATTTTATGCCCAACCGGTTTTTCATGTTTGCTTCAGTTTGACACTTCCATAAGCTACATAAAAAATAAAAATAAAAGCAAATGAGTGTTTTTGCTTTCAATTCACCGTAATTCACTTTTATATTCTCTCTCTCTCTCTCTCTCTCTCTCTCTCTCTCTCTATATATATATATATATATATATATATATATATATATATATATATATATATATATTACATTGAGTGTTTTTGCTTTCACAATCCTATTCTCATTCCTAAGCATGATAACTTTTCAGTACATTTGCCTATTTATTAGTCTTGTTTCTTTATGTAATGGAATATATAGAGTTATGACTTACGTGATTGCTACATAATAAAACTCATGATAAAATTGTTTGAGTCGCTTTTAGGGTTGCTTTATCCCTT